CCAGAGATAATTATAGCCACAAAATGTCAAAAGTAGGTCACTATGACCTACTTTTTGGTCGTCACTCTCCGAAAACTAAATATGCATCCACTCACAAAGTTTGATGATTCTAAGCCAATAAGTACCGGAGATACTTAAATAAAGCCATAAAATGTCAAAAGTAGGCCACCATGACCTACTTTTTGGTCGTCACTCTCCGAAAACTAAATATGCATCCACTCACAAAGTTTGATGATTCTAAGCCAATAAGTACCGGAGATACTTAAATAAAGCCATAAAATGTCAAAAGTAGGTCACCATGACCTACTTTTTGGTCGTCACTCTCCGAAAACTAAATATGCATCCACTCACAAAGTTTGATGATTCTAAGCCAATAAGTACCGGAGATACTTAAATAAAGCCATAAAATGTCAAAAGTAGGTCACTATGACCTACTTTTTGGTAGTCACTCTCCGAAAACTAAATATGCATCCACTCACAAAGTTTGATGATTCTAAGCCAATAAATGCCTAAGATACTGAAATATAGCCATAAAATGTCGAAAGTAGGTCATCGTGACCTACATTTTGGTTGACATTTTTCAAAGACCCAAGATGCATCTACTGACCAAGTTTGATGATCGTAGGTCTGAAGGTAATCAAAATATGCATTTTAAACAATTTGAAAACAAATGCCGGCAAATTCAAAAAGTAGGTCACAGTGACCTACTTTTACATAAATATGTTTTATGGTCCCAAGATGCATCAACTTACAAGATTTGATGATTCTAAACCTCCCAGTGTCTGAAATAATGGGATTAAATGTTTTTAAAAGGATAAGTCATAAAGTTCAAAAAGTAGGTCACAGTGACCTACTTTTAAGTTGACATTGTTCAAGGACCCAAGATGCATCAACTGACAAAGTTTGATGATCATAGGCCTTAAAGTGTCCAAAATATGCCTTCAAATCAATTTGAAAACAAATCCCCACAAAGTTTAAAAAGTAGGTCACCGTGACCTACTTTTGAGTTAACATGATGTGAAGTCGTAAGATGCATTAACTTACAAGATTTGATGATTCTAGTCCTTATAGTAAGAAAAATATACACGTTTTTATTAATTGTAAATTTAGGTCAACTTTGAAGTGACCTTGAGACCACGCCCTTTGCCCCAGGGTCATGCCTTGAACAATTTTTAATCTTCAACATATCCTGATCCTTGTATGTAAGTTTGGTGAAAATCTGCCTGGTGGTTCTGGAGAAGAAGATTTTTTAGCAACCAGTACTTTTGGTTTTGTTTTCCTGATTATCTCTCCTGTTTTAGGGTCCCAACCCTTATTTTAGTACAAATGGTAGCCCTTGGGCCAAGGATACCCTGTGACAAATTTGGTACTGATTGGCCAAGGGGTTCTTGAGTTATGGCCCATATTCTAAAAAGTTAACGCACACCGCACACCGCACAAATGGCCATAGCATTAGCTCTTTGAGCCTTTGGCTCAGAAGAGCTAAAAATATAACTGTGTCCATTTTGTTGAAAATTTTGTAGCAAATAAATTTAATTTGATGACATTACATTAACTTAAATATTTTATTTTACTTGTCAATATGAAGGTGAATTACAATCTTATTATTTTTCCCAATTTGACACAAATGTCGACAATTTTTCCCAACTGAAAAGGCCCAGGCCCCTTTTAAAAATTGTAGAAAAATCACTGAGTGTAAAATAATATTTCTGGCTGATACAAATGATACTACATGCCTGTATATATTTGTATATTCTTGCCTTTTAATAGTTGAATTTTTTTTTTAATTTCTTCAGGTTATTGTTTATTTCTTCTTCAAATGGACTTAACTTCTCCCATAGTTTTATTCATTACATCTGATGCATAAGCAACCCTTTTCTGAAGAATGATGCTTAGACTGTAAGCTATAACAGAGACCTAAACAATGTCGCTGGCAATATGCAATAGCTACCACGGGCAGTTTAAAACCTGGGGGAGGAAAATAATTTACAGACTGTTACTTTTGAAATGAATACATAATTACCTCACCAGCATGTCATTGTGCAACAAAGTCGTCAGCATTTTATTTGTCCTTTGAACGGGTGAAACGTTTTGAATGGCACTCTTATCGATGAATTTTACACTAAACCAAGCTATCTTCACAGACCCGCCGCTTCATCGTAAACCCGGAAGAGCGAATTCATAAATTTGAAATCTCGATCCCGACTCAAATTTGACATCGGAAAGAAAATTTTTTTTATTTTTTTCTGAAAATTCAAAACCTTGAGCGGAGGGTTTGTAAAACTGAAAATAAAATAAATCCTGGCCTTAAATATGTAATTAGATCATTAGCATATTAACCAGGAGCAAAGGATAAGATGTTCAAAGAAATCATGCATTTCACTATATAATCATTAGAGCCCCACCCTAAAACAAGAACCCCTGACCCTGGGGCCATAAAATTCACAATTTTGATAAAGGCCCTCTTGCTTATCATAACTATGTACTTAGTTAGTTTATTTACTACCCAGGAGCAGAGAAGAAGATTTTCAAAGAATTCATGTATTTTCACTATATAATCAATAGTGCCCCACCCTAACACCAGAACCCCTGACCCTGGGGCCATAAAATTCACAATTTTGGTAGAGGCACTCTTGCTCATCATAACTATGTACTTAGTTGGTTTATTTAATACCCAGGAGCAGAGAAGAAGATTTTCAAAGAAATAATGCATTTTCACTACCTACTTATTTAGCCCCGCCCTAGCACTAGAACCCCTGACCCCAGGGCCATGAATTTCACAATTTTGGTAGAGGACTCATTGCTGGTTACAATCATGCAAACAGTTTGACTGCTTGATGTCCAGAAGTAAAGAAGAAGATTTTTAAAGATTGCATTAATTTTAGTGGTTTTGGCCCCACCCCTCAGGCCCCAGGGGGGCAGGGATTATGAAATTCATAATTTTTGTTCCCCTTCACCCATAGATGCTTTGTGCCAAATTTGGTTGAAATTGGTTCAGTGGTTGCAGAGAAGATGAAAATGTTCAAATGTTAACACACACGATGGACGACGGACGACGCACGACGACAGACGAAAACAGATAGCAATAGGTCACCTGAGTTTACTCAGGTGACCTAAAAACTCTTAAACTTAAACTGAAAAGAGTTCAGTATTGGCAAGTTTTGATCATGTTGACCAACTAAGTTCATTTCCCACAGAACTTTTTAACATTGTTGTTTATTTCTAAACTCACATTTTCGTGATTGAGGAAATTTGAGATCGGTATCAAAAATTATGTTTATCAAGTTTCTCTATGACTTGGATCACATGTAATGACAGCATGCTATAAAAATGACTATTTATACAAAGTTCAATAAAAACAAAGATGTATAAACTATATATACATAACGCCCGTTAAAATTATATCCGAACTCATAAACTTTCTAGAACCGACCTTGTTTGGTCAATTGCTTGCATATAACAACTAATTAAGAGTTTTGGCAGCATTAATAATGAATGTCACATGTGTAATGGGTTAGATAGATAGTATATGTACATGATGTAGTTAATAAACAAGACAAACAGCTGAAAAGTCCAGTCTCAAAAGCTTGTTAAGCTTGTATTTTCTTTTGAATAAATTTTAATTCTAGGACCAGATGACTTGTGTTCTTCAATGTACTGAACAACCATAAGGGTACTAGTAGTTGCATTTATTAAATAAAAATATCTCCTATAGCCTGGCAAATTGTTTCTAGTCACAGTTATGAGTAATCCTTGATTTAATATATATCTGTGTTTAAATTTACTAGTGTTATTCACAAAATATTTTTATCATGACAAGTAAATTATTTGTTTATGGTGACCAGAAATTCTGAAATGGCAACCAAAATTTTTTTAGGACATCATTAATAGCAAAGTAAGTGTAACTTGGGAGCACTGTACCCCCAAGTCATGGGTCATGATTTGAACAATTTAGAATCTACCCTACATTTGGATGCTTCCAAACAGGTTTCAGCGCTTCTTGCCCAAGCGTTTCTTGAGAAGATATTTTTAAAGACCCCATACTATTTTTGCATTTTCTTATTACCGTATCTCTCTTTGAATAGGGGCTTTGTCCCTTCTTTTTAACAATTCAAAGTTCCCTTCATCTAAGGATGCTTTGTCATAATTTTGGTTTAAATTAGCCCAGTGATTCTTTAGAAAAAGTTGAAAATATGAAAAGTTAACAGACGGACGATGGACAAGGTGATCAGAAAAGCTTAAAAGTCTATCTTACTAATCTACCTGCATAAGAACTTATTCAGACCAAAACTGTAGGCAACGTAGTATTCAATGAAAATGTGACGTACAACTATTTTTAGTAAGCATGTAAATTTCATTTGTTGAAATACAAAAATGATAGAAAGAAATTTGTATTTAAGTGTAGTATATTTGTGTCCACGAGTCCAATTGAAATTTTATTTAACCAAAATTCTACAAGGAATATCAATTTTAAAAATTTCAAAGAATCATTACTATTTTAAAGTAACCATAGCAACACACTGCACACTGTTTGTTAAAATCATAAACTGATATACTGAATTACTGAACTACCTTCATATAGTACAGGTATATAATAATATGATTAATTTAAACAATAAAATGCTTTCTTTGTTTGTTATTACTGGAATTAACGGAAGCAGCTGTTGCAGAAAAAATACATAACCCGCGTAAGCGGGTTATGTAATTTTTTTCTGCAATAGCTGCGACCGTTCATTCCAGTAATAACAAACAAAGAAAGAATTTTATTGTTTATATTTATATCTGTTTAAATAATCATTTAAAGTTTGAATAAAAAGATTAATATTATTGTATTAATGATGCAAATGTCTTTATACGTTTCATTGATGGAACAGCCACTGATCAAGAAATCTGTACTGGCGACATGCCTAATGTAGTTCATGCAGTGATGAACGCAATGGGTTTTCTTAAGAAATAAAGGAGAAATTATTCAGTGGATGTAAATATCAAAATATACTTACTTTCAGGCGATTCATTCAAATTCCTCTGCACTTCCTCCCAAAAAAAAGTGATGGGATGAAAAAGAGGTTTTTTAAATTCTTTTTGGCAAATATTTTCTAGCTGTGTTCTGTTTTCTGTCTTGTCCTTCTGAACGCAAAGAACTATTTCAAGTCCATTTTTAGATTTTTTTGCAGAACCTTTTGAAGCATTCTGAACAATTGCATCAGCAACCTGATTATCACCAACTGGAAAACAAACACTTCTCCAACGATTCTTTTTTACTTCAGTGCATAAGGTGTCCCATATGATTTCCATATTTTTCTCCAGTTCTTTGGAATAGACAAATAAAATTCTTTTGCAATTCAGTGTTGCTGTATTGGATGACAAATACATGTTGCATTTAGACGAATCTGCTCCTTGGACAATGTTCCCATTATCTTCTTTCTGAGATTTTGCAGCATTTTCCAGTTCAGTCCATCCTCCTTTTTGTAAAAATAAATTAAAATATGTGTAATTTAAATATTATACATGTTTTAAGAAAGCATGAATCTTTAACATGAATAATACTGGAAAAGGTAAAACACTCAATTTTCAATGGTAACTTAATAAATAGCAAACAGGGATACTTTGATGCAAATGAGCTAAAATCACTCTGAGCACTGACCTACCTTTTTGAAATATTTGCACTGATGATTCTCCAAGTGGTTCACAATTTTGATCTATAAAACTGACTAACACATCAGTGACTGAGTTCTCTACCTTTCCCTCAGCAATCACAACATTAATGCCTAGGTTACTAATCCAGCACTTGTAATACTGTGGTTCTTCAGCTTCACTTCTAGACAGTGAAATACAGCAAGGGCCATTGTTCTCTACCTTTGCAATACCTCTTCTCACGGTATCCCCATTCATGCCTCTTCTGATTTTAAATACTTCCTTTTTGTGTGCAATATTCTTCACCAAGTCAAACAGTTCTTTTTTAGCTTTACAGATAGCAATATCTGATGCTGAACTCAACATGAGGCATCCTCCTTTGTCTAATGAAATGCAGACATCACAATCTTCTTGTATTGTGGATAACTTTTCATTGAGCTTTTCTTTCAAATAATATGCAACTCCAGCTGCAAATGGGAGAACAACTTTTTTCATACAATTTGGTTTAACTTGTGCTGTTCCTTGTATCTCAATGTCTTCAGCTGCTGAAGGAAAACTACCATAATACACAAGAATAAAATTTCCATCTTTTTCAAAGGTAGCAGAATTTTCACTCCTAACTCTTAGCATATTGTCTTGCAAGAGTCTCTTCTCAATTTCAACTTCTTTAAGCACTTCTTTGAAGAGAAATATAAGAGCTTCTCCAATACTTTTATCTTCCATTCCATAACATGTTATAGTACATTTTGATTCTTTAATATTGTTCACTGCCAAGAAAACATGAAAACCTCTCTCTTTCAGAAATTCATAAATTGCCTGTCTTACTTTTTCAGATGCTAAAAATGCATGCATATACTTTGACACTTCAGAAGTTTTTGACCTCAGCTGTTTTAAGTCTGACAAACTTTGGTAGTACTTTTTACATTCCATGATTTCTGTTTTCTGCCCCCTTAACACTAACTGAGATTTCTCTTCATGAACTTGTACTTGAACATTTTTGTACTTTGACTGCAAAAGTTCTTTCAACTGCAAAGCTTCAAAAAGTTCCATATTTTCAATTTTTTCCATGGTAACTCTTCCACAGATGGATTTTAATATTGATTTATTTTTCTCTACTTCTTTCATAATTCCAACCAAAAAGTAAGTATTCTTGGTTTTATGAATAAGCTGAATATGCCCCATTTCTAATGACTGCTTTGCCATCTCACTGAATTCTTTTTCAATAAAAGGCCATGAAGATTCCTCAATTTGCATACATGTTGAAGATATCAACACTGTCGAAGAAATCCACAACTGAAAAATTATCTCCAACTTTTTCTTGAATTCTTCTGTATTAAAATGTTCCTCACAGGAAATTGAAAGACATTTTTTTGATCTTTTGACATTAACTACGAATCCATGTTCCATAAATTTCTGGATTAGTGTATCTGGCTGTTTTTGTACAATAAACTGGAAAATGTGGGGTTGTTCATTTGTATGCAGAATATGTTCTTCAATTTTGCCTTTAAAGGACACTTCCACTTTGGCTTCATTCCAGCATTCATGGATATCCAGGAGATTCTCAGCTTCTGCAAGTCAAAAAGTTTATCTTTACATCAACTTTTTTATTCTCTACAGTCAGGGATTAATCTACGTTTTGGGGGAAACTATCCTTTCTTGAGAAATTTGGAAAATCAGCCAGGTGTGGGGGGCCACTCCAGACCCCCAGTGGGTGCTGGCAAGCATAATTTGGGGGTCCAACTGAATTTCATCATTTTAATGGTCATTTAGAGTGCATAAAATAGCATAAAATAGCAAAGTAAAACTATATTTCACATCTTCTAAACATTTTTACTTTAAATTTTCACTTCAGAACTTTAGTTCTGCTAGGACATTATTAATTCCAATACTAATAACCAAAGAAAGCATTTTATTGCTTAAACCAACACATGACAACAGACATATGCCAGACACCATTTAATTTAATAGAAAAAATTTGTAGACTTTAAATCAATTCGCTGAAGATATTTGGATACCCAAATAATTTATTTTATGCAATAGGTCTCCTTTTCAATTAAAACTTCCAAATTAAAAGAGTTAAGGATCATGTAACAATTGTGATCAATGACATTCTTTAACCTCTGTAATGCGTGCCCCTTTGAGGTGACTTAGGTCTGGTTCCAGCTGCCACCACATCACTAGGATGTGCTGAATCTTTCTTGTCCGAAAAAATTTAGTCATTTTAAAGACATAAACTCTCACAATTGTATTTCATTTTCAAATATTTACATTTCCATGTGTTGTCACTCAAGATTCTTTACAAATAATAAAGATAACAGTTCATTTTCTCATGAACTGTAATGGATGAGCCTAAATATCTCTATTTTTATGTTAAAATATTGTACCTTGACTTTAAATTATAGTGTGAATTGCTTTCTTTTGAAATTGACAGTTGAATAGCATAAAAGGAGGCACTTCATAAGACGGATTGATTGAGTGTTGTTTTACAACACATTCAAAAATTCTCACTAATATAGAGACATCACCATATACCAGTGGAGGGCTTCAAATTTTGACCTTTTCTCAGCACACAGGGCTATTGAGCGGTGAGGGATCCTTATCATGCCAACGCCTGCTGTGACACAGGGCCTCGGTTTTAAGGTCTCAAAGGACCCGCAACTTTCACTTCAAAGTGCCAAGCAAATGGTGAAGGAACAGTTGCTACCTACTTTTTATCGACTTAAGTCAGTGGCAGCTAAGATTCAAACTCACGACCTTCATGTCTTAGAGCTAGCATTCTAAGTAGCTGCAGAACTGTATCTCTCTGCTTGACAAAATTCAGACAAGTAAAGTAGAGAGCTACAGATCCAAGCATTGTAAAAATCTTCGATTTATGCCCCCAATTTTTTTATCGCTACTTTAGTTATTATTTCTTGTAGTTAAAGCTTTCTCTGGCTTTTAGAATAGTATCCTATAATTAAGCATATGTACAGTAGGAATTTAGGCTGGACAGAGGACATCGCCCTGGATAGCTCAGTGGTTAGAGCACCTGACTAGTATAACAGAAGTCCCAGGTTCGATTCCCAGTCCAGCCATATGTTTAAAAATATATGTATTTATGAATTTTCAATGTATGTTTACTCATTCCTCCTTTTCCTCCCAATGCTTGGATCTGTAGCTCTCTGCTTTATTTGTTCAAATTTTCTCAATCAGCTACCGACTAAGCTACCATGACAGTTCATTGACAACAAGAGGTCCATGGGCCTTATAGGTCACCTGAGTATCATGTAACAACTTTCTAACAATTGAATTTAGTTAGTGTTTTAAATGAGATGCCATGAAGTTCACAATTTTGAAAGAGGCCCCATTGCTGATCAACCTATGCACTAAGCATGCTAGCTTTGGTTCATTAAAACTCAGAGGTAAGTCAGAGTAACAAAGAGAAAATGCATTCCCACTTTATAACCCCACCCTACAGGAACCACTAACCATGGGGCCACTTATTTCAAAATTTTGGATATTTTATCATAAGATTTATTTCATCATAAATGGTTGATTAATATCAAAGAGCAGTTTTCAAAGCATTAATCTATTTTCAGACTATGTATCCCCCCAGTACCCCTGTCCCTGGGGCCCTGAAATTGACCATTTTGGAAGAGGTGCCTTTCTTCACCATAGATATGTACTAAAATCACTGGCATCATGCCCAGGAGCAAAGGAAAAATTTCAAAAAATTCATGCATTTTCACTATATAATCCCTGACCCTGGGACCATGAAATTCACAACTCTGGAAGAAGGGCCCTTGCACATCATAGTTATATAAGTAGTTCATCTGCTTAATACCCAAGAGCAGAAAAGAAGATTTTTAAAGAATTGATGTATTTTCACTATACATGTACATTGTATAAGCAATAGAGACCCGCCCTAACACCCCACCCCCCTTACACCAAATGGCAAAAACTCTGACCCAGGGGCCATGAAATTGCAAATTTGGTAGAGGCTTTCTTGCTTATCATAACTATGTACTTAAAAAGTTTATAAAATACCCAGAAGCAGAGAAGAAAATTTTCAAAGAATTAATGTCTTTTTAACAATGCATACAATCAATAGAGCCCCACCCTAACACCAGAACCCCTGACCCTGGGGCCATGAAATTCAGAACTTTGGAAGAGACATTCTTGCTCATCATATCTACTATAAATCACTTAATTTTCGCGACACCATATTTTCGCGAGATAGGCATTAACTCTTTATTAGCGAGACAAAATTTTCACGAATTGTGGTCATTGCTCTATATAGTCTTAATGAATTCTATTATACGCGAGAATGAAATTTTCGCGAGCATACAGGCTCATGTAATTACACGAAAATAAAGTTCTCGCGAATAAAAAGTGATTTACAGTATGTACTTGGTTAGTTTGTTTAATACCATGGACCAAGATTTTCAAACAATTTATGTATATTAACTACATAATCAACAGAACCCTGCCTTATAGCACCAAAACTATACCCTTGACCCTGAGGCCATAAAATTCACTATTTTGGAAGAGGCATCCTCATTCAACATAACTATGTACTTCGTTAGTTTATTTAATACCCAGGAGCAGAGAGGAAGATTTTCGAAGAATTAACGTATTTTCACTAGTGTATATAATCTATATAGCTCCGCCCTAGCACTAGAACCCCTGACCCTGGGGCCATGAAATTCATAATTTTTAAAGAGGCAGCCTTATATAACATAACTACAGTGGACCTTCAGATATCTGGACGCCAGATATCCGGACGCTTCACCTTCCGGACGATTTTTCTCGGGAACGGAGTTTTTCAACGTTATTTTGGCTCATTTATCCGGAATTCCGCGTTCCGTATCCGGACGGCTCTTTTTTACTACAAAATGTATTTTTACGTGATAATTCGTTTCATTTATCCGGACGGTAAATTTCAATTTGTACTTCTATTCTTGTCAACATTCATGCCTGAACTGAGTGATAATTGGTATCAAAACACTGGCCGAATTGATTGTTTTTACAAGACGATCACCTAGGCCCTGTTATGAATGACTTACGATGATTAATCCACAGATTAAACAAGCTAATTAGTGGATATAGTCATAATATACGAGGGATCGGTACACAAATGAAAATCAACAATTAACTGTGTTGGTAACCGAAAACAATTTTTCTATCCAGTTATTTGTTATCTGCGAGATATTTACGATTTTAGTACAGAGCTGGTTTTAAATATTTTTCTTTTTATAGACAGGACGACATAGTTTCATAATCTCGTTGTCTACTCATGTGCACAAACAAACCGGTATTGTTATTTTCTTCTGTAGATTGGTGGCAGTTATCATCGAAAAAAACTTCAATCAAATTTGAATAATTTTAGACAATCAATGGTTTCGCTTGGGATGATTACTATGTGAATTTTTAACATAACAGATTTAGCGTGGATGAGTGTTCAAATTAAAATTAGACTCGATACTGACAGCTCGCTTGGGTGTAATCAAAGCTGCAAATGAGAGAATTAGCTTGCCTATGTTCATCAATTTATAGGAAGTAGAAAGTAAAAATAAGCTGGGTAATTAAAAATCTGCCCATATAAACACAAAATGTTTGACATTCTGCTCTCCAGCTACAACCATGTCTACACCGCCAGCAAAGAGAGCGCGAGTCGGCATTTCCGTCAGCTTAGAGAAAAAAATCTGCCAACGCTTAGTTTTTAGCTATAGAAATATTTATTATAATTGAAAAAAATGTTTAAAAGTAGTGCTGATGTACACTAAAGATATAGTCTATAAAATAATAAATTATTATTTCTGTATGATAGCTTTTATCTTTCTTTATATACAGTGTACAAGAGTTACAATACAAATACAGTATACCTGGAAGAGAAATCAATAGAATTCAGATATCCGGACGCTTCACTTATCCAGACAATTTGCTTGGGAACCAAAGCGTCCGGATAAATGAGGCTCCACTGTACATGTATGTATTTGCTTTGTTTATTTAATGCCCAAGAGCAGAGAAGAAGATTTTCAAAGAAATAATGCATTTTCACTATATATAATCCAGGGATATATATCAAGGCTGTTTTTACTACCGGTAAACGGGGTACCTTTCCCCTCCTGAAAAAGGTGCAAAAATTCCCCTTTTTCAGATAGAAAATTCTCCGATTAAACGGAGAATATTTAGGGGACGACCATTTGATCCTGGGGGGGGAGGGGGGGGCTGGCAAATTTTTTTGAGACGGATAATTTATTTTCATGCCGGTCGAGGACAGATTATTTATTTTCAAGATTATCAAGGACAGATTATTTCCCTTACAGAAAAAACTAATAGAAACTTATAAGTGTTTTATAATCCACTTATTAGCAACTTATAAGTCACTTATAAATTTTGAAATTTACTTATAAGTGTACTATAAGTCAAAGTAAGTATAAGTGAAGAACGGATTTCGTTAATACTTCACTTATAAGTAAAGATGAGCTACATATCAGTGAATAGTTCACTTATACCTCACTTATAAGTGAAGATCAGTATGGTATGAGCGAAGTATGTGTGTGCACTTAGAATTTTTACCCT